AGCCAAACTATCCAGTCCAGTCTTATCTCTTATCATCCCTCTCACACGCACATAAACCCTGACCTCCCACATGAACTGTATGTACTGCACGCCCTTGGGTCTCTCGTGCCTTGTTTGGTTGGCTTCTACACATGTCAGTCACTCTGCATGTGATGTCTTGCCTCCCATTGTCTTGCTTGATGACCAGCCAGACTTGGCTCCCATTTCATCTATTCTAGAATACCCCCATGTCCCCTTTCCTGACCCTTTTTCCAGCAGAGGTAAGCCCTCTGCCTCTGGTACTCAGAGCACCATTGTGCCACACTTCACACTGTACCACTGGGTTTGCTTCTCTCTCCTTACTGACACTAACCTTTCTGCATCTTATCCCCAGCACAGAGCCCAGTGGTTAATATATTTACTGAAGATGTTTTTGTTTTTGTCGCATTTCTTTTCTTGGTTTCAAACAATTTGTAAATACAGAGAAATTATCTGAAACGGTTATATTCTTTACTGAGCTTCCAAATGCATAATCCCAAGAACTATTTATCTAACAAACGTCATGTTCTTACTAATTTCTATTTTGTTCAGGAACGTTTTAAAAAATAGTTTTGGTTTTCATTACAGCTCTGTTTATTATCATTTACATCATAGGCCCTGTTTACTTTTTTTTTTTTTTTGTATTTGCAGTATACATAGAAGACTATACACTGTGGGGCATTCTTTCTGACTTAGTGTGGGTGTTGGTGCTCTATACATAAGACAACATTCTCCAATATTTGTTATCTAATTGGTATGTTGAGATATTTGTTGAGTAGGAGGAAAACGATTTTATAAAGCATCTAAATTATGAGAATGGGTGTTCTTGTCAAAATTTTAAATTAGTTTTGTATCTGGATTCTTACAATGGTATGTGTGGTGTTGTGTTTATTGGTGAAGCACGTGGAAACAGAATTGTTAATACTTCAGTAGTTCAAGTTCATTCTTCCCTTTGTAGAAAAATCATCAATCTTTTTACAAGATTTTTGTTCCCAATTTCATCAGATAGGGTTATATCTTGGGTAAGTCAGTACTGATTGATTTACCCACATGATGTATTTAGCCAAATTTAAATCCTGCACGGTGGCTATCTCCCATACTCAATCTTTTCTGGCTGTCCCTCACTGGGGATGCCCTTAGGCCAGACAGGGTTTTCAGCTGCCAGGATTTTTCACTCTGCTTTTACAAAGCCTCTCTCTACCTCTGAATCTCTAGCATTGTCTCTCTTGCTCAGTCTTCTCACATCCTGTATTTACTGCTTTGACCCTTTATCACCATCTGCTCAATACTCTAAATTTGCACTCTTATTTGAGGCTCTGAGACTCTGGGCTTCCTCAGTTCATGGCCTGACATCTCTCACATTGCCTATTATATCCTGGTTCACATTCCCTCATCTGTTATGTACCCCTGTTTGAAAGGTTTCCATTTCCACCTATTTGCACTGCTCCTGTCCTTCCCTGTCTGCACTCTTGCAGAAAGCACAGTGCTTGAAGAACTCTTTTCTTGTTCTTCCACACAACCTTTTTCTTACTGGCATTATTTCCTATTATTTAACTGTTCCTAAAATTCTTTCTCTTCGAGAAAGCTATCTTGGATTGGTGCAGTAGAGCCTCTTAATTTTTCCTGACCTTTTTCCATTCCTGAGCACCAGTAACTACCTTATGTCCCATAATGAATGCTGCCATTCCTGGACACCAGTTACCTCCTCTCCCATCATGCTGCATGTCTACTCTTTGTCCTCTCATTCCTAGGATGTATTTGCCACTGATAAGTTTGGATAGGCAGATGTACCGACTCTTTGGTTTTATGTTTTGTTATTTCTCTCTTGAAGCCCCTAGAAGCCAGGAACTACATCTGTTTAATTCTTTGTGTATTGCCTAATACAGCCCACCATCACTATTATCACACATACATGACTCATAACTGCTTTCTCATAATAGGAAACAATGGTTTGATAAGGAAAAGTGGTGTATGTTGAAAATTTGGCATCTGTACTGCATGCATTTTCTACTGATGCAGATGGAGGAGAAAAGAAACTCTTGGCTTTGGATTTTTGAAGCATTCCCTGTTTAAGGGAGAGCAGGTGGTAAAATTAATCTTATAAAAAGATAATTTAATGTTTTTCAAATTTGTTGTTTTGTCTCTGCAAAGTCTAGAAAAGCATATTGAAAATCAAATAGAGCTAAAACAGTACTTTGATACATCAATCCAAAGAACAGTTGATTGTAGTAAATTAGGATTTGTCATAGAAATTTCATAATGCCCAATGGACTGAAATGCACAGAGGATGTGGCAAAAGCTGCAGTTTTAGATGTCTTTCTCATGCAAATCATTATCTATGAAGTCTTAATAATACAAGCTTAAACAGAAATTGCTAGAGTGATGTCCAGAATAAAATCTGGTACTTGAACAGCAAAAAGCATTGGCTGTTTATAATGCATATTAACATAATAACTGCTGTTCTAAGAATTCCTTTTTTTTTTTTTTTAATTTATTTATTTTGAGAGAGTGTAAGCCTGGAAGGGACAGACAAAGAGGGAGAGAGAATCCTAAGTAGGCTCTGCGCTCAGTGCAGAGCCAGACGTGGAGCTCTGTCTCACAGCCATGAGATCATGACCTGAGCGGAAATCAAGAGTCAGATGCTTAACCAGCTGAGCTATCCAGGTGGCCTGTTCTAAGAATTCCTTAAAATACTGAGGATTTAACTCATAATTGGAAACAGTTACTGGGAGATAAACTTAAAGTGGAGAAAATCTGTTTATATACTGGAAACTATGTTAAGAGGGAGAAACAGGTTATTATTTCTCTGCTCAATGAAATCAGACTCTCCTAAAATTAAGTGAAAATTGTTTAAAGCAATTTGATGTGAAGTTTAATTAGGTATAGGAGTTGCAGTTTTCAATGTTTCTTTTTTTTTTTTTTAAGAATTTTCCAGAAACAACTTTTCCTTTTGACTTAAATATCCTTATTTAACATAAATAATTTTAAACAAAGAAATGTCCAAATGTAATTTTAAACTACATTTTATTGTTTTATTCCCATTTTACACTTAATTAAAAGAATATGTTCCTCTCCTCTCTCTCAAAATAAATAAAACTTTTAAATATAAATGTTCCTTTTAAGATCATATCCTACTATTTAGGTCTTTCTTTCTTTCTTTCACCTGTTTCTTTCTGTCTTTTCCTCTTTCTAAAGAAACATACTGCTTTTTACAAGTTATGTGCTTCGTGGCACCATTAGTTGGATAGATGACTTACTTAGTTTTTGTTTTGTTTTGTTTTCAAATAGAACCTGTTTCAAAAATTATGAACACTAGGATGAAGGGTGGGAAATAGATTTTCTTGCCCTGACGTTTGCCAGGGGTGTTATCGAGATATGTTATTAGGTATTAATGAAAAAAAAGCTAGAGCACTGTCATAGGTTTGGAAGGATACTTTATAGCCCTCATCATGGTACTTGAGTATTTACCTTAGCATACAAAAGGGACTGAGGAATGGCTGTAGTAAGTAAATTGTTTAGCCTTGTGTAACCGAGTTTTTTTCCCAACATTTGACCACAGAATGCTTTTTACGGGGAATACTCATTCACAGTCCTTGAAGCAAGTGTTCCAAGAGCAGAATTTGGAAAGTGTTGTACTAATCAACAAAACCCATAGGTCAAAATTAATAGTTTTCAAAATCTTAATTTATGGCAAGGAAATTAGTTAATTAATGGGAATGTTTGTTCAGACACCTGGATTTCACATGAACTAGTCATTGTGAGTGCTACTGGATCTGGAGTATCCTGTGAGTTAGAGGCATCCATTTAGAAATCTGTTGTGGAAAGGGTAGAAAAATGAAGGAATGTGTTTAGAAACTTGGTCACTCTGCTGATACCTATGATGTTACTTTAGGATATATTTTATTTTTCATGTTTTCTTAGGAACAATTTGAAACATACAAAAAGAGAGAACAATACAATGAATATTTTTCTGGTTCCTTAAAATAATTGTTCAGATGCTTCAAACACTAGAGGAAGTTTCATTAAAAAAGGACACATGTTTTAATGGGACCATCCGTTATAATTCTTAAATGATCTTGATTCATACAGTGAGATTTTCTCCTGACAGTAGTACTGAGATATTTATCAAGTGCTGATTCAGCAGCAGCAGACCAGATAACAAAATGACAAAAATATTCTTATAACTAAACTTCATAGTAATCCAAACTGTTTTTCTCTTCATGTTATACCAACTTTTCTTTTTTCCCTTCAGGATAAAAGATAGTATTGATATTGGGTAGAATAGCAATGCTGGTCTCATCTGGGGTCTTTTTATTTTTTCCTTTTTTTCCTGTCTTTTTTTTTTTTTTAAGTTTTATTTGTTTATTTTGAGAAAGAGAGAGCAAGTGGGGTAGGGGCAGAGAGGGAGAGAGAGAATGAGAGAGAGAGAATCTAAAGCAGGCTCTGTGCTGTCAGCCCAAACTGAGATCATGACTTGAGCCAAAGTCAAGAGCTGGATGCTTAATCAACTGAGCCACCCAGGTACCCCTTTCCTGTCTTTCATCAGGCAATATTATATATTCCTGTATTGGCTTAGGTAAACTGATGCCTCTGAAAAAAGGGCAGTCTTCAACAGAAGTTTCTTTTGTTTCACTTCCGGCTTTTTATGTCAGCTTCATCTTAAAACTGACCCCCTGATTGTCTGAGACCAGGGTTTAGTTCATCCCACTGTAGGGAGGGTGGGATTATGTTGATTGGTTTAGGTCAGTGACTGTGGGATAGCAGCAGTCCTACCATAACTCCATGGCCTGGAACTTTTGGTCTTGTTAAGAGAAAACATGTAGAAAATGAGGAAACCAGTAATGTCCTTTTACTCCAAATAAGACAAGTTTTGAAAATTCTACAACATGCTCTACTACATATTTTTAATGTTTGATGAGATGTTTAGACATTTCTATTTTGCCAATGTATTAACAGTTCTTTTTGGGGGGGGTTCTTTTTAGAGGACAAGAATTTTGGGCAGATTTGAATGCCATGAATGTGTATGAAACAACTGACTTTGACCAACTACGAAGGCTGTCCACACCACCCTCTAGCAATGTAAACTCCATTTATCACACAGTCTGGAAGTTCTTCTGTAGGGACCACTTTGGATGGAGAGAGTATCCTGAGGTATTTATAGGTTCTTTTTCCAAAAAGTACATTAAAAATTTTTTTGCCTTTCAGTGTCCTTTCTTTCTTCCTTTACAACAGTGACTAGACAGAACAACAAATCAAAGAGCTTATTGATGTAAAATTGAGTGTTATTGATACAAGTAACATTATTCTGTCTTGCTTTTCTGAAAATGTATTTCTTTCCATTAATCTTCTGGAATATGTAAATACAAACCACTATTATCAAAGAGGTAAAATGTTTTCCCCAATATCTTATACTATAGAGACCAAGTAGTTATATTGGTAAGTACTCAAACTCAGTGCCTCTTTGGAATAATTTTAATGAGATGAGCACTGGTGTAAGTCTGGCTATTTCTAGCTCCTGGGCTCGTGGTCATTGGATCATGTGTTACACTTAGCATTTCGGAAGTCTGACGGGAAACCAGCACTCTTAAGCCCCTGTAAGAAATACTTGACAATGTTTATTTAGCTGTGGTCAGGCAAATCAGTCATTTAAAATTCTGGCATATGCATCCTTAGTCTGAGATGGTAAGAATAGCTCATCAATCACAAAGTAAGGTTTTCAAAATGATGGTGGCTTTACTTTGCCTCTGAATGAGAATTCTGAGTCAGTTTTAAAAATGATGAAATGGGCTTTAGAGATTAATTTCACATTCCAAAGATCTGACTTATTTAATTTGATTAAATTCATTTCCAGCATTACAAAAAGGGAGAACTGATTTCTTTACCCTTAGGTTTTATTTTTTAAGGCAATAACAAAAGAAAACTACCTAATATGTTAATTGCTTAATAATACACAATGGAATTAAAATTTCTGAGACTCTCTTAAGTAGTCACTAGTATCTGATACCTTCCATGGAGAATAAGAAGCTCTTTAAAATGTAAAATTCTCAGAATACTTGGGCTGTCCCTGTGTTTTTCCTCTGAAAGATTTCTTGGGTTTAGAACTTAACTAGTTTATTTGAACTGTATACACTATCATCTTTAATCCTCTTCTGAAAATTCCCGTAAGAAATATAAACAAAAAAATCTCTAGGACATTGTTAAGGCCTCAAACTAGAATAGAGTAGTTCCCTGGGCCTCAATGTTTCCTATGTTGGACTGTGATCTTCTGAAGAGAGAGCGTCTTTCTATTCTGCATCTTTGCCTCCTATTCCCTCCCCAAAAATCCTGTGTGTAAAAGGAATTAATTTGACTGCCTGCACTTTATTGAAACTTTACTGATGTTAACAGCAAGGTTAGTTATTTTTGCCTTTCTGGTAACATTTTTCATATTTCATAGTGATTGCTTTTTTCTAACTTTTTTTTTCTTTACCTTCTGTTTTCTGCTCCAGTCTGTTATCCGATTGATTGAAGAAGCCAACTCTAGGGGTCTGAAAGAGGTCAGATTTATGATGTGGAACAACCACTACATCCTCCACAACTCATTCTTCAGGAGAGAAATAAAAAGGAGACCCCTCTTCCGCTCCTGTTTTATACTGCTTCCATATTTACAGTAAGTGTCCAGTGGAATGCCTAATCTTTACTCTTATTTTATGTAAATGTACAACTGAATGCCAAAGAGTAAAAGATTTTAAGAGACTAATGTGGTTATTACTTCGAGAATGTGAAATTTTGAGTTATTCAATGGGTTTAAGTCTTTAAAGAGTAGCATTCGGATAAGCTACAATTAACCTCACTAAAAGAGTGATTATCCAATTGGTTTTTTGAACTGAAAAGCAAATAGAAGTAACATTTTTACACAATTAAAAGTAATTATATCTGGAATGAGGCAGTTTGCATTTGTGAAGACTGAGTTTCCTGATGATGTCTTTCCATGTAATGGGACTACTTCCTAGTCCAGGTAAACTGCCAGGACAAGTAGGGAGAGTCCTCCAAGGTTGCTTTCTCCCATTCTTCCTTGAGTGAATTTTTTTGGGAAGAATCCTTTTCAAATAAATTGCATTCTCATGTGCTAGGTAGGGCCCACCTTCCTGTAACACTCACTAAAATTACCTGTCCTATTTCTAGGTTGAGACTGAACTCATCCTTCTGAATTATAGGTGAGCTCTTCTTCCATTTTCCCAAGTGCCATTTCTTTTTCCCCACCTCTACATAGCCCACTGGCACATCTCCATAGATGCCAAAAAGGTGGAGCATGTTACCAATAGCATAGCCATCTTTGAAAGTTAGTAACTCTAGGGAAATCGTTATGTACTCTCGTCAGATATACCATATTTAGAACCCGATTTTTAAAATGATACTAGGTTTACTTGGTTTTATGGACTGGGGAAGCCTAGCGTAATACTGGTTTTTCTCTTCTACCAATCTTAGAGATGCTGTTTTTATATTCTTACTAGTTTTTTTTTTT